CGACTTAAGTGTTATAGGAACGTTTCTCGTTTACCGCCACCACACTGCCAGTACGACTTAATTCAAATTGATTTGGGCGCAAACAGAATAGTAATAAAAAAAAACCAATAATTTATATTAAAAATTCGATTAACGTTGCAAAGTGTCTCGAAAATCATTAAAATCTGTTAGATTTTGTAAAGAAACATCACAACGCCTTTTAAATGATTCCTTAATGATCTTATAGCTATTTAAGTTGTTATTGCTATTTTAGTAACCACTGCCATTTACGTACTCACTGCCATTATTTTACAGTCTTTTTCACTACGGGCGCCTTCAAATAAGATGCATAAAGAAGCGCTGCAGTGTCGCTGCAGACGCACCACTACCAATTTTCATACAATAATTAGCAGCGCAGCTGTCGCGCTACGCGCGCGCCAAGCATCCAGACTAGATATTGTATGAAAATTAATAGCCACTTAATGAAAAATACTATAAAATAATAGCAGTTTGTACGTGAATAGCAGTGATTACAAAAATAGCAGTAACAACTTAAATAGCTAAGATCATTAAGGATAAAACAAATAGAAATGTGAAGTTGTTCATTAGGCCACAAATTTGCAAAAAAAATTAACTTTTTTAATTAATTAGGCCACAAATTTGTGAGAACGCTTCTCTGAACGCACTACGCGTTCAGGGAAGCGTTCTCGTGTTAGATGTATCTAACACAAGACTCGCGTTTGCGCGCAATGTACGCGCAAATCATCCCTGTTTCTAATTTGTGGCCCTAGTCATGCCAAACGATGACGTTGGTGTCTTTCATATGGCAATGTTATATTTGCTTTACTGACAATATAGTTACACAATAACAACAACATAGTTATAATAACATAAAAACATAGTTATAGTAAAATAAGAACAATATAGTTTTTATATAAGACTGGTTAGGTTTTAAAACCTGTGTGACAGGTCACCGGACTGGCACCTTGCGATTCAGCTGTCTGAGCAATGTGGAAAGTAATAACGTAAGGCCCACATAAGTCTTAATAATTCGCCGGTTTTTTTTTGCTGGGCACGTTTAGTAAATGAAATCAAGTAACTATTGTTATAGGAGACCCCTCTCATATTGTAAACAAAAGAACTGCGGTTGCGTAAGTATCGGCCGATATTTACAATATGATTTTTATTCGTGATTTGCAGATTTCGATTATATAAATTCATATATTGAACATGACCATATTTGAGCAATGATCTACCGCTCTGAGACGTGGTCACTTATTATGGACCTCATGAAAATTATACAATTTTATTTTTTTATTAAAAAACCGAGCTCAAAAGTTAACTTCGTTTTCGGTGTCTTCGTTACCGTGGCCTCCTCAACGACAATTGGAACGCATAATATGGAAGTCCTCGTCAAAACGAATAATATGAGCCTAAGTACAAGGTAACTGTTGTACAGTTGAGGAGTTCCTCTCATCTGTTTGCCATTTCCATCATCAGATCAGCTCTAGATCACTATTACATTTTACATCCATTGGATTTACATCTATATAATTGATATTGTATTATATGAATTGTACATATTCTTCAGATCTAAATAAGATCCGAAAAATTAGTTTCATTTCCAATTCAACAATCGCATAAACCTAAGAACTCGACGAGTTTTTATTTTGTTTTCGATAATGAACCTTTTCTCCTTTCATATAATATGATTATAATATATCCTAAGCAACTAGTCTCTGAAACGGTAATTAAAATGTGCTCACCAAAACTACATTATTTAATGCAAATGACTAACTCAATATAAGTTAAAGAAATAAATAACGGTACGTAAGTTTCCAAGCGAACTTCGAGAAAGAGGTCAACCCGTCTTGGCTGGGCAGCGTTCGGGAAGCTCCGGGATGTCTTCTCGTCCGCAATACTGCAGTCATTGAAGACAGAAGTCTTCGAGCAGAGAGTGTTGCCAGTGATGACCTATCGCTCTGACACGTGGTCACTTAATATGGGCCTCACAAAAAACTCAAAGTTACTCAACGAGCTATGGAGCGAGCACAGGCATTTCTCTACGTGATCGAATCAGAAAGAGCAAATTCGTAAAAGAACGAAAGTCACCGACGTAGCTCAAAGGATTAGTAAGATGAAGTGGCAGTGGGCAGGGCACATAGCTCGTAGACCTAACACCGTTGGAGCAGAAAGGTTCTCGAATGGAGACCACGAACCGGAAGGTGTTCAGTGGGACGGCCCCCTACTATATGGACGGATGACCTGCTAAAGGTGGCGGGTAACCGACGGATGCACGTCGCATCCGATCGGCTAGTCTGGAAATCTTTGAGGGAAGCCTATGTTCAGCAGTAGACGTCATCCGGCTGATATGATAATGATTGCACATGACCTTAAAAACGCTGTCCAATAAGTTAGTACCTTATACAATATAAACTAAGATCGATAGTTGAAGTTCAAACGTTTTACATTACGTTATTTTCGTCTGCAGAATAGTTTTTTTTTTGCTGTCGCCGTATACCATTACACGGCGTAATTTCTAATTTGCCGAAATTGGTCGAGGAGTTCAGGATAAGTCACTGAACATACACACACTGATACGTTAAATGCATTTCCCTTATCAGCATCGCTGCAGTCTAGTTAAGAGAGTAACTCACTAAAACTACGACCAAAAGATTACGAAGAAAAAGTAATAATTTTCAGTAAGCTATGGGACTTGTTGGTTTGTTTAAAAAACAAATATACGCGATTTAGATCCGAAAAAATATTTTTATTTCGTATATTAGGTTCAATTTCTAATAAAAAAGTCATTGACTATTTGCAGTTTTAAGTCACTGAATAAATATAATATTTCCGTAAAGGCATTTCCTTTATTAGCATAGCTACAATCGAGTACTGAAGAAGAGAACTCACCAACATTACGGCAAAAGGATTGCGTAGAAAAAACTAAGAATTTCAATTTACAATAAGAAAAAAAAATCACCAACTATTTGCAGTTTTAAGTCACAAGTCAGAGTATACACAAACTGACATGCTCAACGTATTGCCCTTATTAGTATCGCTGTAATCAAGTAACAAAACGAGACTACTCACCAAAATTATGATAAAAGGATTGAGAAGAAAAATCTAATAATTTCCATAAAATATCATAACAATTTGTAAAACATGTACAGACAGATCTTCATTTAACCACTTTCTTTCAAATAATGACAACGCATTTGAAACCGTGACACTGTTTTCGTTAAGTATGTAGGTTATTGCTTACTCATCAAATACTATTTTCCCATGTAAGAAGTTTTGATGTAAAGTTGCAATTAAGAATATTCGCAAATTTGACGATCTCGGACGGTTTACAATGTGGGCATTGGATGCGGAGGTCTCGGGTTCAATTCATTCACAATTACATGATTTTTTAATTTTATTGAAAACTCACCCATTCAAGTATAAAAAAGTCATGGACTAATTTAGTTTTAATGAACCCTCAAATCTTTGTCCTGAAAAGTTGTCAATTTGCAGCTTTTTACACCGAGGGAGCGAGTTTACAGCCCAGTTATAGTTAGTGACCGCGTAAAATAGATTAAATTTTTTATGGTAAATTTTGAGCTATCGCTAGCAACAACTACTGTAAATTCATTATAGGTATTCTGTAGGTGTATGTGCGACGAAAGTGTACCTTACCACCCACTAGTAAATACTGTTTTTGTTTATTTTTTTCGACTATAACGTTACACGTCAGGTACATAAGTATCGTATTTTATTTCACATGTAAAAGATACTGGTTTTTTATCTTTATATACCGAGTACAAAGTATTTTGCGTAATTGCAATGCGCTGTCAAAGTATAAATTTAAATTTACACACTGAAGTACCTATGAAATAAAATATTTTCAACAGATTATAGCTTTGATTGGATTTTATTTTAATTTCCGTTTATTGATAATTTATTTTTTGCTTCATTGTTGTTTGTGATGTCTTTAGAAGAAATGCTAGAAGCTATGCAATTTAATACCGCATGTATTTGGTTTAAAATTTCAAAACTACAGTCGCAGTAAAGTTGGCAGTCTGATGCAAAGACATTGCTGTTCATTTCCTGGTTCAGTCGGTAATTTTAACGGATTAATTCCAAGAACTCTTCACTCTCACTCGGGTTATTAAAAATATTTTGTAGTCGGGAAGAAATTTTTTATTTGACTTAAAAGTGTTTAGGTTTAGTTAGGAGTTTTACTCGGAATTGGTAGTGGCGAAGTTGCAGAGCTTTGAACACCGCCGTAGAGTTCAAGGCGAGCTTACCGGTATTCTACAGGATATATCACGGAAAGTGTGCGATGGAATTGTATAATTTAACTGATGATTGATGGATTGCATAATTTGATTCCGCCTTCCCCTTTCCATCATCGGGGAACTAGACATGGGCTGGGGTTCCACCCCTATGTTGTGGATATTCCCCGGATTCGCACGAAGCGTTCCTCACTTTTATGGCGAGCGGCTAGGCAGTGGGATTCCCTGCCTGCAGACATGTTCTCCAAACGCTAGAACTTGGACCTTTTCAAGGCGAGAGTGAATAGGCATTACACTTACTACATCCTCGACCTCATCGTCACTTTCCATCAGGTGAGATGGAGGTCAAATGCGCACTTATTTTTGAATTAAAAATGCTTAGGAGGACAGTACTACCCTCCTTGTCATAACTAACGCATTTGTATTTTGGTAACTTTTGAGATAGTACGCAGTTTTTTCTTTGAAAAAATTTCAATTTAGCTATTTTGCTTAACAATAAAATTTAAACTAAATAAGATATTTAAAAAATCGCTCATACGGGGTTGTAGATCTCGATTCGTTAATTCCAGATATGTTAATAACTCAGTTTCTTTAAAAATACGATTACGTTAATTATGATAAGGAGGGTAGAGTATTTAGGCTGTTTTTATTTTTCGTTTGGACCAGAGAAGACAATATTGATGCAATTAGTAGTTTTTAAAACTTAGATATTAACGTTAGGTAAGTGAAACAACTCATACTTACCCTCAAATTTGAAACTGAAGTACAAATTTGTTACCGCAATCACATTAATACACTAATTCACAATAAACACTGACTTTAATCTTTTAATACGAAGGGTATTACGATAACGTTCGAGAATTTTAATAATTTTATAAAGAAACGTTAGCTACATTCGTGCACCGGTACAATGAAAATCAACCACGTCACTTCACTAAAATATTATTCAAATTTCAGTGTTGCTATAAAAATACAAAAAAAAAATTTTAACGGTCGTAAAACGTAATTTCACGAAAAAAATATATAAACAATATATTACAAATTTGAATGTACAAAAATTTAAACGGCGTTTGCGCAACGTAGGCTTGCTTCAATCTTTCCTTTTCGTCTAAACCGAGCTAGTATCACTGTCGCGTTCTGCTATACAGCTCCGTCTCTTTTTAACAAATGTGAAAAGCCGAGTGCATCCGTCCTTGACTGTGAACTCAGTTCAGACAAGAAACGAAGTACCGTTTGGACTTCTTATCTTTTTCTTACATCGTGCAATATTCATTAGAGAGAAAAAGAGAGATATACCATTAGCAGGTCAGTGTTAATAAATCGGACTGTCAATGACCGAAGGCTCGAAGGACCAAAATGAAAAAATAAACCGAACTGTTTTTGTTTTTACAGTTAGGTTAGGTCCTTTGACCTCGTTTAGACGGATCTTAAGTTATTCAGGGCGAAATTTTATTAAGCCGAGTTACATTAAGTGGTATTATTGTTAGGCATGTACATTTTTCAAAGATTTTTGTTTTTTAGGAGATTTTTGCTGATGTAAATAATATGGTTGCGTGATGAAGGTTAACTAATTAAAGTAATCGAAAAAAGATTTATAACTTGAATAAATAATTCGGGTATAAATTGCAATATATTATTTATATTGAAATCATGATGTTTTTTACTACTAAGATATTCATCTATTTTTAACCGACTGCAAAAAAGGCGAAGGTTCTCAATTTTATTGTATTTTTCGTGTGTTTATGTTATGTGATTACTCCGACATTTTTTAAACGATTTCAATAAAACTTGGCAAATAGATGTAATTCCACAATAACTTTTGAATTCAGTATTTTGTTATAAAAAGTTATAATCTGAAGGATATTGCCTTGTTAAGGTCTTTGGCAATCTAATTGAAATTTACAGCCTTTGGAGTCGAAACCCATCCCATCCCAGTGCTCTTCATCTGTAGAAAACTTTATCCAAAAAATTAATGGACTGTCTGGGAAACCCAAGCACGCTACCTTGCCCAACGCAGCATAGCAATACAAAGGGGGAACGCTGCCAGTGTCTTGGGCACCTTGCCGCGGGACACAATTTTATTCATATAATTTAAAAAATCCTAGTTTTACTTTCTAGTACTTAAGCTTTTATTGTCTTTTTTATCTTACCTGTATATTATCAAACTAAAATACCTGATCGAGATACGACGAGGTCCGTAAATGCAAAAAATAAAAAATAAACGTAACAATATAAATATACTATGGCTCTAAGCGATAAAGTGTAGTCGCAAAATAATACTTACATTCTAAGTCGCACATATATAAATTCTATCTTAAGTAACCATAAAAGACCTCAAAAGTCTTTTTTTTTTAAATAAAATTAAGTTATAATTCTTAGGTTTTCGTGATTGTTACACTTAGGAAATGAAACTATTCAGGTCACATGGTGACGGTCAAGAGGCCCGAGACGTTGATTTGTTTAAAAAACAAATATAGGTACGTTATAATTATTGTGAACACTTACAACGTTTTTTATTATATATAGAGATCGAACTACACAAAAAAAAATCCTTCGAAACGACTGGACATAAATTTTCGAAATTGTTACATAAATATTTAAAAAAATCGTGTATAAATTTTATATACAACGAGAAGTATTTTCTCAATATAAGTTAGTTATATTTCTTTACAAAATTTTTAAATAGTTATTTTTATATATCTCCAAAATATGTAGGAGATCCGTATCCATATTCCATAGATCCAGATATAGAGATATAGAGATGTATAATGGTTCATGATGATCTTAATCAGTGTCTTAGTTTATACAAATTGCTTCATCATGTATGTATGTGTGCATTAGAAAATGTACATTAGAAAGTACAATACCCAGTAGTGCTCTATTACAGGTCCACGTTCTTACAATAACAAACGGATGGCTTGGAGATCAACAATCTTGTATAAATACTTCTAATAGCTATAGGGCTTCTTGTGGAAGAGTTTGTCCAGGGAAGTACTGCCTTACCTATTTCTGCCGCCAAGTAGTAATTAAAGCATTAACTATGTTCCGATTTTGAAACGTTAAGCATGCTGGTGAAATTATAGGCACACGGAACTTGTCAATTTATGTCTCGGATACGGGCGCAGTGGCACTGCTCCTTAGATCTTTGTGATTTAAAGTTCTGAATGGCACTGCAACTATAAGGTCAGACGTGTCTCATATCAACAGACGCGCGTCACTTGGTTTTATAAAAAAAAAATAATGGAAGGAATTCGCACCTGACTTATTACTGATGTGGCCTTTCAAGTTACAAACAACTATTCAAGAAAGAAGGTTAATGATTCTAGGAACGAAATTAAATTAGTCGATACCTTTTTTATGCTTAAATAGGAGAGTCATAAAATTTTACATGTACACGATTCGCTTCATGTGGTTCATAATATTTTTATGACTTTCGTGTATAAGGGCATTTCTCCAAAGCCGGAATTGTCAGTGTCCACGCACTAAACTCCACTTATTTATCGAAACAAAAATCTACAAAAAAAAACAGTGCATAATAATAATAATATATTCATAATATCAGATATGCATAATATCGTAAGGTAACTGGAGAGCATAAAAATTTCCCAATAAACCTTTCGGACCTTATGAAAAAAACTGGCTACGGTGGCGTGTCCCGAATGCCAATCCAAATCCAACACAAAGTGTCATATTTCTCATAACTGAATCCGTATTTCAATATTAGACTTTAGTTCACATATAATAAGTTAGATGACAGTACTTATGATTTGAATTTCACAGTGAGATAGACAATATTTTATCACAATGTCAAGTTTGCTGCGTGTCCCAGATTACTTGCGTGTAGTTACGAATCACGCTACGCATTACCGGTTTATCGGTTTACGTTATCGCAATCGTTTACGTTATTCGTCTGTTGCGCCCCTGTGGCTGGAGTATAACAGACGGGTGATCTGTTGCCGATTTTAGAACTTTTTTCGTGTTTGTACGTGATTCGGTGGATTTGGTCTAAGTTGGTTTCAGAATTCGGTGTAAGCGATATTTCAAAAATTAAATTTTATCATTGTAATTAGTATTTTGCATATTACGTGTCATAACTACTAAAATATAATAAAAAAGTATTGGTTTATTAAGTACAGTCGTTAACGAGTAATGTAGAAAAAAATCTATTTAAATTTTGAATCCCGTGGACTTCAATTCAATGGGTTTTATGCCACAGAATTCAGAAAAGCTTCCACCAAAGTCAGAAATGCTACCACCAAAGCCAAATTTTCTTAGAAAAGCAAAAAGTTTGTAAATTTTTTCGTATAAATATGTAGTAAATTGTTTTCGTCGTCTGTCGTGGAAGAGGCTTTCGCCTTTTATCCCTTCTGTACTCTGTTCTCTTTAATCCCACCTCTCCTCCTTTCCTCAAAGATTGTTTCGTGTTTCGTAGCACTATTCTCAGCCTCGTCGACCTTGCGGTCTTCTCTTACTCTTTCTGTAAATTGTCGTATCCATTCTTCTAACTTCTATTCCAACTCCTTCAAGATTAGAGCATCAAGCTGTGGAATGTCTGAATCGATCAGACGCGCTAAGTCTGTTAAGTCTTTCAAAACTCTACTCGAAGCTCATTATCTTACACTCTAAAAATATTATTATTATTTTTTCTCCTATATCTCTTACCTGTTTTAGATCTTACTTGTTGTTATTATCATGTTTTATATAATCCTACTTTCATTTTGTGTAGTCATATGTATTTTTTTGGAATTTATTTATTTAAGTATTTTATTTATTTATTATTATTATTTTGGACCTCTGTTTTAGACTATTTTTATTATTCTTCTTTTGTATAATGTGTTTTAAATACGTATTCTGTTATTTACGTACTCAGTTAATTACTATCTCATAGTTTTCCTGTAATCCGAAGGTTGCCTGGAAGATATTTAGAATATTTGTATTGTATTGTTTTGTAAATATTCTTGATTTTCACAATTTAAATTACTACTTGCTTTGGGCTGAAAATGAATAAAAAAATAAAAAAATGAAATTGCCCATCGCAAATACTAGGAAGTTTGAAGTTCGATCTTTCATTTTACTTAGGGTTTCAAATTTAAATTATAGTTATAATATAGCTATGATATTTCTTTAAAAAATCAGTTATTAATTTCATTTTCCGTCTTTCGATTTTTCTTTGATTCAGCTGTTTCTGTGACCATGCATGACCAAAATCGAAATTGCGTGTTATTTTCGAACACGAGTTCTGTCGTGGCACCAACGCAGCACAGATGGCACGCAATATCAACAACATGTATGGACCAGGTAGCGCAAGTAATCGCACAGTGCGTTTTTGGTTTGACTTCCTTTTTGGTTTGGCTTCCGTTCTGGAAATTTTAATCTTAGCAATGAGCCCCGTAGCTGACCGGAGACGAAAGTAGATAACGATGAATTTAAAGCCATAGTGGAAGCTGATTCATTTAAAACGACGTCTTAATTAGTAACAGCCTGAAACGTAACTGACTAAATGATATTTATTCATTTGGGTGAAATTGGAAAGACAAAAAAAGTAAGAAAGTGCCGTATGAACTCACTGAATAACATCAACAAAATCGTGTCGAAGCTTTCCTTAACTTGTTAAAAAGGCACTGAAACGAGGGGGTTTCGAAATGGATTGTCACTTGTGATGAAAAGTGATCTTGTATGACAATAGAAAATGCCATCGTACTGGTTGGCCACAACTGAGGCAGTCAAACCGTGTCCCAAACGCAATTTGAGTCAAAAGTAGGTGCTTGTAAGAGTATGGTGGCCTTTATACATATATTTCATTACAGCTTCTTGAGACCTGGCACAACAATAATAATAACTGCAAAGTGTACTGTGAAGAATTGAATGACACGTGATGATAGAAAGCTCTCTGTGACCAAGACTTAACAATTGCTCTAGTCCACTTCTCCTTCACGACAACACGCGTCCACATACCGCACATCAGACCTTCTCAAATTACATGCGTAACGACTGGAAACTCTCCGTCAACCACCATACTTACCAGTTCTTGTTTTACTTCTTGCTATCTTGCTTGGATAACTTTTTACAGGAAGAA